GGCGGTAGGGGGGGAAACCCCCACCCGGCGCCATCCAAAATCGGCGTCATCAGTATCGCCGCGGTGCCGGTCGAAGCCCAGGACGGCGACGTCACTAGCACGAAGGATAAAAGCGAACCCGAATTTCGGGTGATGATCAAAAGGACCTGGGGGTGCGGGAAGGTGAGCAGCACCAGCGAGACCCCCGGCGCTCAGATGGACAGTGCCGGCACCGTTAGCGTCTTTAAACGGCTGGGGAAGAAACCAGATTGATCCCGTGGCGCTTCTTCCCGCAGCGGGTGGGTCCTCCGATGGTTTTCCACTTGTCCCGTCCCCTCCCGACGGTCGCCCGCTGCCTCCCATCCCATTTCTTCGCCCTCAAGAACCGGCGGAGTCTCACCCTGCCTTCCTCCTAACCAATCCCACGGGAAAACAAGACTAATCCCACGGGGAAGGGCTTAATCCCGCAGGGAGACGCCAAACCCAACGGAAAAACAGCGGAGGGAAGAGGGGAAAAGCCCTTCCCGACGGATTTCCTGCCTGCCGGGCATCCCTGCCTGCCCCTGCCCGCAAAGCCGGCAGGCGTGAGGCCACATCGTGGCTTCTCCATCTCCTGGCAGCACCAAAACCTCTTTTTCCCCGCCCCAGTTTTTCCCTCCTTGGCAGGTTCTTTCCTGTATTTAGGAATCGGACCTGGAGAACTCCACACACAGGGGGTTTTCCCTATTTTTTTTCTGTTTTTTTTCCTCCTCTGCAGGTTTTTTTTTTCCCGAATTTAGGAATTTGCACCAAAATGACTCTGTAAGTAATCATTACGGAGTGGCGGCTTGCTGCAGGGATTCCTAATTTTTAAGGATTTCCGAGTAGCCTCCAAAAAAAAAAAAAACACCAAACCCCAAAAGCTTTGAAAAAACTCCTCGGGGGCTCAAAAAATCCCCAAATTGCCTTAATTTAAGTGACACCTTCAATGCGCTGCTCACGGTTTTAGGCTCGAGCTCATCCCACGTGGAACCTAAAATAGCTGCCGTGGGGTTTTACTGAAATTATTTATTTCCCCCCAAATTTGTCTCCCCCCAAATTTATTTCTGATGACGTCACCCAGGGCGTCTTCACCCCGCGCCTGTCCGGCGTTGCTGCAAACCCTGAATAGACATTTTTTCTCCCCAAAATAAAGGTAACGGGGGTGGAGACAGCTGTGTGGTGAGTCAGGGCCATAACAGTGAGTCTTTTTAATAAGAAAAACCACTAATTTCTTTATTTTAACCTTTTTTGGGAGGTTTTCTTTGCGCTTCGGGCGTTGTTTGGTGTGTGAAAATGAGTGGGTTTTACCAATTTTTGGCTTTCTGTGTTACCCGCCAGCCTGCGGGGGAGCTTTTTGCAATAAAGCGTGGAAGCGGCTCTGTTTGGTATCGATTGAGCCCCCCAGTCTGTGGCCGGGACCCCCCAAAACCGCCCTAGGGTGCTGAGACCGGAGCAGCTCAGTGCACCCCAGGGCGGGGGGGGGGAACCCCGGGGCGGGGGGGGCCACGCCCTGTGGG